ATATATATATATATATACACACACACACACATGTAATTTCAGCTCATATCTTTATCTGTTTTAGCTTATTTTAAACCTTGTTATTTTAAACAATTTTAAGCCATTTTGGGGCCCCCTGGTTGAGAACCACTTATGTAGACTATTATTTTTGAATAATTATGCAGTTCTAATTTTAATATTTATGTCCTAGAACTGTGTACTAACGCTGTAAGTGTAACACTCTCAGAAAAAAAGATACAAACGGTCACTGGGCCGGTAACCTTTAAAAAGGTAACTAACATGTACACTTTGGATACTATCATGTGATTTTAAAGTACTAATATGTATTTTTAAGGTACTCATAGGGATAAATAAAGTACAAAGATGTGCATTTCAGCTTTTGTACCTTAGGGTTCTGCCACAGTGACAGCTTTTTAATGAGAGTGCATTAATCAGAATTTCAAAACAATACAAAAAAAGCAAGTTTACTTAAGTTTAAGAAAAAAAATGATTTTCTGTGGTAATTGATGTTATGCCACAAGTGCTGTCGATAGTGCTTAACTCATATTGAACGCATAACATTCCTTTGAGGGATGAAAGCGCAGACTTTGCTCCTCAAATCTTCCATCTGCTTCCGCTCCATCCTGACGTCTGACTGCGCCGTCTCACGCTTGCTCAACTTTCACTTTTTCTCGTCTCCATGGAAACGCCAGCAGAGAGACGAACCGGACGGGACGGGTTCACACTATGCTCGCTGCTCACAGCCACTTCATGCCACTCCAGCTCTTAAAGCACATTACCCACAGTTCCAGGCACGAAGGCAATATCGCAGGGAAATTACACACGTGCTGGCGGGAAGAGCGACGAATCCATAATATCATAAAGATCAGAGATCACCTGAGACCGCCGTATGGCCCATATGGTAGGTTCAGCCCAGCCTCATGCAGGAAGTGTGAAAACAGGACGTGGTCTACTGAGACCTGCTTTAAGCATCACAGACCGCATCTAATCACAAGCTGCTAATATGCAGCACAACACATGGGCTGTTTTTATAAGGCAGTACAGTACATTTCTGTGAGAATACAGCATGCATTCAGATCCTGTGTGCCGTGACCTTGCTCCAACTACTCATTCACCCAGCAGCCCGGCACTTTGCTTTAAAAAATAACTGCGGTGAATAAACTATCAAGCTCAGAACACCTCAAACCAAAGTGTGTGCTTTGATTTATGAGAATACACAAGTTAAGAGGTTGAGAAATGTAAAAAACCACTCTGTACTGTCTGGGATTCACTAACGAACGATCTCGTCGCAGCAGTTCTGCTTGATGAATATGGATGTCAGCGAGCTTCTCTGAATGGGCGGAAAAGGTAAGAAGAACAGATGGAAAAGTTTTCAGATAAAAAACACAGCTAATTTATCAATGGCTGCACCTGCAGCCTCGCCTTTTCACTGTCAGTCAGCGCCGTTAAAGCCTTATCAGCCACCGCAGTGCATTATTCTCGCCTGAATATGCAAGAGAAAACTCAATAGCTTGATTTATCTCATTTTGGTCTGATTAATAACCCTCCAAAAGAACCTGAAATGAAACTGAACAACGCATATAAAGTTAAGTGCATCAACTTTAAAACAGGCCCCAGGCCTGCATGAATCTTTCGTTCAGAGTTTTGTTCCTTGCTAAGCTTAGCATCACTACCACTATTGCTCATGCTTGGCTCAATATAGGCTTACATAAGATGTACTATTACTGTTTTAAGCAATCGATCTTACCATTTTTGCTCTGCAGACGGTAAAACATTCCACAGACTTACATTGCAGGAAAGATTCAAGCTATATCTAGAAACCAGAATAGCACAGAAACAACCACCCAGAACACTCTAGCAAGTGTATATCAACACCAGAGTACACAACTACACTGTTCTAAAGTTTGGGGTCGGTAAGATTTTTTAATGTTTTTTAAAGAAGTCTCTTCTGCTCACCAAGACTGCATTTATTTGATCAAAAATACAGTGAAATCAGTAATATTATGAAATATTATTGCAATTTTAAATAACTGTTTTCTATTTGAATATATTGTAAAATTTAATTTATTCCTGTGATCAACGCTGAATTTTCAGCATCATTACTCCAGTCTTCAGTGTCACATGATCTTCAGAAATCATTCTAATATGCTGATTTGCTGCTCAAGAAACATTTCTGATTATTATCAATGTTGAAAACAGTCGTGCTGCTTCATATTGAAACATTTAGAATTATTTGTGTGAATAAAAAGCATTTTTACAAAAAATATTTTGCAACTATGTAAAGTACTGTCACGTTTGATCAATTTAATGCATCCTTGTTGAATAAAGTAATAATTTCTTTCAAAAAAAAAGAATGGTAGTGTACATTGAAGGAGAAACTGGACTCATATATAGATAGCAGAATATCACAGAGATTAGATTTGGGCCTGTGAGTATCCACTTAGCAACTTCCCTGAACACCCTGACAGCCGCTTAGTAATGCCCACAACATCCTAGTATCTTAGCTGTGAGTTTTGCATGAGCAAACACCACTCACTTTTCCTTCATGAAATGTAAAAATGTAGTTACATCATACTCTGAGTGTATGTGCATGTGTGTGTGTGTGTGTTTGTCCATATGTGGGGCTCGTTTAATGCTGCATGTTTCTGTCTCCTCTGGGCTCAGAGGTTTGATTGACAGGTGAATGCCGGAAGTACATATCCCTTGTCTGTTAAGCCTGTCAATCAAATTCTGATATCCCATCTCCTCTCTTCTCTCTCTGTGTGTCTCTTTTTCCTGGAGGCAAGTGTTTTTTTTTTTTTGAGTGGTTGCTATCAGTGCTGCCTGCAGTGGCAGTTTCTATCTCCCTTAACAGTTCTGCTTTTCTGTATTATTTAAGCAATTTGTAACCCATTTTATTTGTAACAGAATAAACACTCATTGATTATTTGAATCCTTCCTAGACACGTATGATATTAACTCACTTATATATTCACCTTAATAATGTGGCACAGCATGACTTACAAAACTAGTCATGCTAATTAAAAACAATGAATCTCATTATTCCTCATTCAGAACAGAAATGACTCTTTAAAAGGCTACTTTTTAAGAGTCACTTATGTTCTTCAATCAGAATGATTAAACAATGTCAAACCTTTTTTGCTAGTGTGTCCTGGGTGTTTTTAGTGTGTGCGTGTTCTAAGAAATTAACACTTTTATTTAAATAGCATGCATTAAATTGATCAAAAGAGGCAGTAAAGACATTTATAATGTGACAGAATGATTTCAGATAGATGCTGTTCTTTTGAACTTTCTATTCATCAAAGTATCAGTATCCTAAAGAAAATATATCATGGTTTCCACAAAAATACGAAGCATCACAACTGTTTTCAACATTATAATAATCAGAAATGTTTCTTGAGCAGCAAATCAGCATATTAGAGTGATTTCTGAAGATCATGTGACACTGAAGACTGGAGTAATGATGCTGAAAATACAGCTTTGATCACAGGAATAAATTACATTTTACAATACATGAAAATAGAAAACAGTTATTTTAAATTTTAATAAATTTACTATATATATTTTTTTTTACTGTATTTTGATCAAATAAACACAGCCTTTTGAACAGTTGTGTAAGTCTGGGATTTTTCTACCCATGGCTAACAGTAATAGTAATAATTGTTTTAGCTACATCTATAAGAGGCTTCTCTAAATAAAGGTCTGTGTTTCTGTGTGCGAGCGTCTCAATGTACCGTGTGAACCCCACCGAAACTCTCAGTTCACCCACTCATTCTGAGTCTTTTCATCGCACAGCGAAGACTGACTCACAGAACAAAACCTCAGCGCTGTCCTGAACTTTGACTCCACTATAGAGACAGAGAGCCCAGCTCCTGCTCTCTCGCTTCCTCTGTCTGAAGCACCAGAGCCGCACATTAATAACAGAAGAGTGAGGAACAGCAGGCGTAAACTCCAGCGTAATAGAAGAAAGAGAGAGAATCGCACAGGGAGGCGTCGATTCATGCCATTCAGTCAGGAAACCCGGAACGAGGAGTTAGTGCTGGTGAGTTTGGAGACTCAGTGGTGCTAGTTAGAAGGTGCGGAGAGCAGATCTGGAGCACCAGTGAGCCGAGCATTACCGTCCTCTTTGGTTCTGACGCTGGTGCTGCTGCTCTCTGGGCCGGGCCCCACGTCTGTGTGCGCTTTGACCCACACCACGTACTCCGTCCACTTCTCCAGCCCCTCCAGCACGTAGCTGGACACATCCGCGGGGATGTCCTTGACCTCGTGACGCTGCTGGTCCTCGCCTGACACCGCCTGATAGGCCAGAGAGTACCTGACGATGTTGCCGTGGCGACTGGCGGCTGGAGGAGCCGCCCAACTCACCTTGATGCTGGTGGAGCTGAGACTGATCAGGTGCACTTCCTGTGGGGGGGCGGACGGGGCTGGAAAGGGGTGCAGGAACACATGAGCTGGGACCAGTTACATAAACTTAGCATCTGTATGTCTTAAGATCCAGTCTGACTAACCAGCAGTTTGCCATGGGGTAATCGTCTTATTTTTCAGATTCAAATAGTCTACCTTTTCATGTAACTGATTTAAAGTTATGACTAACTTGTATGCAAGTTTATGCAACCGGCTAGCAAAAAACATAAAGGTTCTTTGCAGAACTTGAGTTCAAGGATTGAAGAACCCAGGGTTCTTGAGCTGGCAAATACAGGCAAACACACATAGAAATTAGTATCTGTGCAAAATTCTGGAGGATTCTAAATTGACTTAACGATGGTTTGATTTAAAGGATACTGCTCAAAAGTTTGGGGTCAATAAGATTTTATTTTTTTGGAAAGAAAGTACTAATTTCATTCAGCAAGAATGCATTAAATGGATCAAAAGTGAAAGTAAAAATTTTACAGTTTTACACAAAAAGTCTATTTCTATTCATCAAAGAATCTTGACAAAATGTGTTATGGTTTCCACAAAAATCCGAAGCAGCACAAATGTTTTAAACAATAAGAAATGTTTCATGAGCAGCAAATCAGCATATTAGAATGATTTCTGAAGGATCATGTGACACTGAAGACTGGAGGAATGATGCTGAAAATTCAGCTTTGCATCACAGGAATAAATTACATTTTAAAAATTTATTACAATAGAAAACCGTTGTAATAATATTTCACGATTTTACAGTTTTTACTGTATTTTTAATCATATAATGGTGAGCAGAAGAGACTTCTTTCAAAAACTTCTTACCAACCCCAAACTTCTGAACAGTAGTGTATGCCTGTTAGAAGATGAAAAGTGAAGCCCTACTGGGGTCTTTAAAGCAGTGATACACAAATCTTGATACACAAGACTTGCACACATTATTTTGATTTTTTTCTTTAAACTGGAAAAAAAACAAAAAACTAAATACAACATGAGATTAATCACAATTCATATATTTTGATTTGTTCTAACGTCAATAAAATCTGGAACCTGTTTAAGTCCCCGTAGATGAGAATCGCTGCTTTACACACCAATACAACTTTAAAATTTTCCGCTTCGGTGTCAAGCTGTAAAACACTTTTTGGAACCTTTCTTTATAAGAGTGAATACTGCATTTTTTTTAATTTTTTTTTTAAAGTCTGCACATACTGTAGTCTAAATATTGTGTTTTGAGGTGAAAGCCGAGATTGATGGCTCACTTCTACTCTGTATCTGTGTAAGTATGACAGAGATAACAGATACATTCTGTCTGACACTTTGGCTAGACATGTAATTGATGTGATTGATGGCCTGTCTAGTGTCTGAGATGCTCTATCGATTTACTTTTAAAATCACTTGAGTTCACAGAAAATCCCGCCGCTCCTGTCTATCCCGTCCTGAGAACATGGCAAACTAAAACAATATACAGTAGGATTATTACACGGCTCTCTGGAATACTTGATTCAGACTGAAAAAGCAGTAGACATAACATATTGGCCTTTCTGAACGATATCAGTGATGGAGTACGTATGCGGCAGCACTATGAAAATGTGATAATCCTGCGTTTTGTTCAGCAGAGCAGGCGGAAAATGGCTTCCGAGGAAAAAAATAGGTAAAATAAGAGGTTCGACTCCACACAGAAGAACAAGAAACATATCCGTGAGTGTGAATAAGATGGTCTACACCTGTGGACTGAGGAAACCAGGAGAGGAAATGAAGAGAGAAAAGACCAAGTGTGGGAAAAGGTGGGAGCAATGGGTGAGAAAACAAGATTAAACAGGGAGACACAGAGACACATCTGAAATTCAAGTGGGAGTTGAGAAGAAAAAAAAATAGTGAGAAAAAGAATAAATACAGGGAAATCAGAAAATGAGCACATGGTTATGGAGAGAGAATGAAGCGTGAGGAAACAGAAAGAGAACACGTTTCTTTGTCAGCTGCAGCAGAGGAAAGTGTGCGTGAAATACAACAGGAAAAGAGAAAAGTGAATAAACTAAACAGAGAGGACAGAGACACTGGTCACTGAGGAGAAAAAAACAAGACAGTAAGAAAAAAGCGATGCATACAAAATATTAAAGACAGCAAGAAACAGAGCAGATGGTAATGAGAGAGAATGAAGTGAGAGGAAAGCTATATTAACAGTGAGAGAAAGCTATAAAGAGGTGTGAAAGGTCAAGCATAGTGAGCTGCCGACCTAGACAGGATATTACACAAATAAATCATTCAAAAAATGAAAATTAATTGAATCGATTTTCACTTTTGGATGATTTATTCTTTTAAAAAATGTTTTTTTTTTCCATGTCTTTTTTTTTTTTTTTTTAAAGAAACCATGAAATCAA